GGCATGCCACGCTGGTGCCCTCTGTTGGAAGCCAGCAGGCAGTGCTGATGGATGGGAAGCCAGACGTCAACAAGGTGCATGGAGAAAGAGGAGCTGAAACTCCCTGCTTCCCCTTCACAACATGCGCGCGCGCACACGGATGAATTCCAAGATAGGGGACATTAGCCTGGAAGGCACTTCAACATTCTGGTTCCCCACCCCCAAGGCACTGAGATAGTTCTCCCTTGTCGCTCCACCTGGTACACAGACTGAGACCCTCCCTGCCCACAGACTGTCTCACCAGAGTGGTATATGCTCTGGTTATCTCCCGCTTGGACTCCTGCAATGCGCTCTACGTTCCTTTGAAGGTGACACGGAAACTGCAACTAATCCAGAATGCAGCAGCTAGACTGGTGACTGGGTGTCAGGAACGTGGCCCCCCAGGGAGCAGCAAAAGGGCCAGCCTCAGACATTGAGCAAGGAGCCGACTCTTCAGCTGAGAGCTGTCTGTCTGAGTTTAGACAGCTGTCTGTCCCTCCTTCCCAAGCAAGTCACTGTTAGCTCTCAGGGTGAAGGAGAGCTGGAAGGCAGCCACAGCGAAGGTGGCCTGCCAGCAGGTAAGTGAGAGACAGTGTCCACTGAGAGGGGGAAGGGGGAAGGCCAGCTTTTCAGTCCCCATGCCAGGAGATTGGAGAGGCTCAGAGACTTGCAGAAGGGGAGGAGGAGAAAGGCACAGTTCTGGCATCCTTCCTGTTGGGGGAGGGATTCTGAGTCAGACTGAGCAACTCCTTTGCCGAGAGAGGGCAAGAAGTTTTGCTGTGGATGTTTTGTCCTTTGTAAATAAACGTACTTGAAGCTGACAGAGACTCATTACTGCTTACCGGACTGGTTGCATGCCAGGGATCAATAGCCTGGGAGTGGCCGCAGGACCATATAACACAGGTCCTAAAGGATCTTCATTGGCTCCCAGTGTGTTTCCAATCACAATTCAAAGTGTTGGTGCTTTAAAGCCCTAAACTGTCCCGGCCCAGTATACCTGAAGGAGCGTCTCCACCTCCATTGTTCAGCCCGGACCCTGAGGTCCTCCTGTGAGGGTCTTCTGGCAGTTCCCTCACTGCAAGAAGTGAAGTTACAGAGAACCAGGCAGAGGGCCTTCCCAGCAGTGGCACCCTCCCTGTGGAACGCCCTCCCTTCAGATGTCAAGGAGATAAAGAACAGCACTACTTTTCAGAGACAGCTGAAGGCAGCCCTGTACTGGGAGGTTTTTAATGTTTGATGTTTTTGATTATGTTTTTAGATATGCTGTAAGCCTCCGAGTGGCTGGGGAAACTCAGCCAGATGGGCAGGGTATATATAAAACTATTATTATTATTATTATTATTATTATTATTATTAATAACACGGGTCACTACAATTCACATCCATAAGTCACAGTATTGATAGTGATTATGCTAAATCAGCATGGTGCTGTCCAGATGAGGTAGGATTCCCCCATCCAGCAGGGCCAGCAGTCAGGGATGATGCAGGTTGTGACCCTCCATCACCCGAAGGTGCCATGCTGACTCTCCTCCCACTATGGGATCCAGTAACAAGAACTAGAAAGAAGACTCTCTGAACTCAGCTTTTGAACAGGGATGGAAGCTTTGTTTCGTTTACTCAGACCATGGATCAGGTAAAGGAGGGCAGGGGGATTTGTGATCCTCCAGATCTGTGATCCTCCTGCTGGCACTGGTGTCTAAGAACACCTGGAGGACCACAATTTTGTCACCCCTGAACTAAAACTTCAGGGGCCAGTCCTAATCAAGGAGAGCAAAAATGAAGTAATACGACAGCAAACTGAGGACCTGTCTATCCTCAAAATCCTTTTGGTTTCAGTACTTTAATGTCACAGAATGAAAAGAATGTACATTCCTTCTGAACTATTAGAGAGCTTTCATTTGACAAATCACTTCTATTGAATGAAATAATCAGTTAAGATAAAGTAGGGGCAACTAAGGGAGAGATACATTAGTCAACATCCTTCTTTTTCAGTTGGGCCACCTTCGGAGAGGAAAAGACCCATCTAGTCCAACATCCTGTTCTCATTGTGCTGCGTGTTCTCACAGTGAACAACCTGTAGGAAGCCTGCAAGCAAGACCTGAGCAATATATATTTCCAATAGCAGGCCCTGGGGGGTGTCTGAGCCAGATTGGGACTGCAGGAGGGGCAAACGGTTGCAGACCCTTTGCCCCCCCCCCCCACACCAGGGTTCATAAGAAGAGTCTGCTGGATCAGGCAATGGTCCACCCCATCCAGCTTCCTGTTCTCCCACTGGCCAACCATTCGCCAGTGGGAAACCCTCAAGCAGGACTCAAGCACAAGAGCCCCCTCCCCTCCTGTGGTTTCCAGCAGCTGCATCGCTGCCTCTGAGCAGGGAGGCAGAGCACAGCCATCCCAGCTAGTGGCCAGAGACTCCAATCTTGACTGGGTATCTTCCAATCTAGCCAGCTCACATCCCAAGCTTGCTATTTATTTAAACACACAAACAAGGGCTAACAACACAATCAACATCCCTTCTCCAGTTTGGTCCTCAGGGTAAGGCAGCTTCATCTCTTAAGATGAACCCCACACCGGCTGCAGATCCAGACTGCATGGAGACAGCTTCATTTGTCTAGAGCCACCTGCTCTGCAGACAACCAGGGGGCGGGGGAGGTCTTTGTTGGCTGTGGCAGAGAGAAATCTACATGGCAAGCAGACAAGGAGCCCACAGCCATGCCTTATATTTTAAGCAGCCAGCACATGGCCATAAAGTGGTGCTGAGAATACCATGTTCCTTTTTGCAATGAATGCGGAGTAAAACGCTTCTTGTCCCCTCATGCCAACCATACGAGATTAACAGATAATTAAATTATTGCATGTGAGAGAGAAAGAGGGTGGTGGTGGGGAGACACACTTTGCAGAACACCCCAGAGGTAACCCTTGGCATTTCCAGTTAAACTGGTCAGGCGATGGGAAGGACTTGCCTGTCAGAGACTGAAGAGCTGCTGCCGTTCAGAGCAGATGATCCTGGGCTGGGTGAACCAGCAGCTTGAAGGAAGGGCCATAGCTGAGTGGTAATGCAGCTGCTTGGCATGCAGAAGGTCCCAGGTTCAATCTCTGCCGTTTCTATTGTAGGGTTAGGTAGCAGGTGATGAAAAATGCATTCTTTGCAGGAGACCCCAGAAAACAGCTGCCAGTCAAAGTAGACATCTCTAGGTGGACAAATACCTTAAGGTGATATTAGGCAGCTTCCTATGTTCCTATTTTTTTTTGTCTCCATCCTGCATGACATCCTTCCCCAACCTGGTGCCCTCTAGATGTTTTTGGACTCAACCCCAGGCAGCACATTTACACCACATTGAGCGTGATGACAGTTGTAGTCAAAAGCATCTGGAGAGTTCCAGATTGGGACGGCTGTTGTCCAAATTAGACATTTCCCATGCCTCTGCTGACAACAGCTCATCCAGGCACTTCCATTGGACCTGGGGATCAGCTGCAGTTCTCGTAACAAAAGTTGAACTCCATGTGCCCATTCCAAGAACTTCACCTTATCCCATTTACAAAGCAAATATTTAGTTTGGATTTCTTATTAGGTGGATGGAAAACATTGGCCATGAGTTAGAACTTGATTCCTGCCCCCATTTCTCAATTATCCCAATTGCTGTTTCTCATAATTGAGCAATTGCATCCAAATCACCCTTGATCATTAAGGACCACTTTGCAGGAGACACCAAGGCCTGTCCAATCCCAGTAGGATCTCCAACATTTGTCTAGCTGATTTCAGTTCCCCACTGCCCAATCAGGGATGTGTTCTGAATGCCCTGCAAACTGTGCTGTTTTGTGTGCGCGCACGCATGTGTGTGTACTCCGCTTGGGGGGGTTACAAAGGGCTGCTGCAGGGGAAGATCTAGAATTTCAGGGGTGTCAAAACTCTGAATAAGGTTGCACACACCTTTCTGTGGAAGGGGGGAGACAACCCAACATAAACACTCATGATGGACTTGGACCCCTCCAACATCACTGAAGAACAAGGGTGTGCAGCCAGAGGGGGGGGGGAATCTGGGACTCTCCTTCCTCCTCTCTCTTCTCACAACAGAGAAGAGCTGATGACGGTGTAGAGAATTAACAAGCTTACTTCTTAACAGAGCACACGGTTGAACTATGGAGCTCGCTTCCACAAGAGGCAGTGATGACCACCAACCTGGATGGCTTTCACAGAGGACTGGACCAATTCATGGAGAAGGATTTCCGTGGCTACCAAGCACAATGGCTCTGCTCTGCCTCCGTGGTCAGAGGAAGCAACGCTTGTGAATGCCAGTTGCTGGAAACTTCAGGAGGGGAGAGGGCGCTTGTGCTCAGGTCCTGCTTGTGGGTTTCCACGGGGGCATCTGATTGGCCACTGTGAGAGCAGGATGCTGGTCTGATCCAGCAGGCTCGTCTTAGCTCCCATCTCTCTCCACCGTTTCCTTAGGCAGATCTCCGCCTAAGAAGAAGATCCTCGCCCCGCTCTCTTTCTGATATCTCTGGGCTTCCCATCTGTGAGAGACGGAGAGAGAGATTTCCACACCCAGAATCAACCTGCCCCTCCCGCCGCTCTCTTGGCTTTCTACCTTCCGCCTCGCTTGCTCCGGGCTTAGTAGATCATTACAGGGAGGGCGGCGGAAAAAGCGGGCGGGCGAGCGAGCGGAGAATGGATTCCGCGCTTGGCTCCCTCCTGCTTTGCCTTTGAGCCCCCCCCCATCGCATCCAGGGACCCCCTCCCCTTCCTCGCGCACCTGGATTGTTCCGGCGGCGATTAGCATAACTCGCCCCCTCCCTGCAGTCAGGAAGGAGGCGGCCCCATTGATCGGTGGCTCCCCTCCCCGCGCGTCCCTCCCTCCCGTTTCCAAGCAGCGACCGTCCCAGCGCAGCGCGCCGCCCGCTTGCGCGTCGACGGGGCGACGCACGCCGCTCCCCGTCGGCTGCCCGCTGCTCCGCGCCCGCGCCCCGTGTGCCGCCGCTCTTCCCGGGCCGCGCGCCGTCGCAGCTGCCCTTCGCCAGGCGCCCCGAGGAGCCGCCGTTGCCGTGCCGGGAGCGCCGCGAGACCGACGAGGGCCTGCGGGAGGGGCCGGGCGGTGGCCCCGTCGTGCCGGGAAGAGGGCGAGGCGCCGCCGAGTCCCGAGTGGAGCCGGGCGCGGAGCGAGGACGGCCGGAGAGCCAGCGCTGCTGGTGCGCTGGGCGGGCGGGCGGCGCTCGAGGGCGAAGCGGGCGATGCCATTTCTTGGCGAGGGAGACGGGCGGCCAGCATGAAAGATGCAGGTGAGGGGCGCCGGGGGACCGGAGGGGGGAGGCTGGTGAAACGAGAGGGTGGGGTCCGGGCGGGGCGGGGGCGAGGGATGACTTGGTCCGGATTTTGATCTTTTGGGGGGGGGGGTTGTCAAGGCATAATTCGCGGCTCCGGGGATTGTGCTTCTCCGCTGTAATAGGTAGTGGGGCGGGCGGGGGTCGCCTGGTTTGGTGCCGGAGAACCCGAGCCAGGTTTAATAGGAGGGAGGGGAGCGGGGGGGGCCCTTCTAATTTGCTGCCTTTTTACACAGTGCTCCAGATTCGATGCTGTGGCGATGGAGAGCTTGCTAGAGGTGCGGGGGCGGGGGGCGGAGAGATCCTCCTTTGCCCGTTCAGAACTCCGCTCTAGATGTGTGTGTATTTATCCTTTTCAGAATTAGGGCGGGGGGCTGTGGAGATTTCGGGTTCCTGGCTCTTTTGAGATTCTCGGGGTAATGGTTGCCTGCCTTTCCCGCGATTTAGGGCTTTGTTTTGTTCCCCAGCCCCCAGCTTGATTGAACCGGGTGGGCTGCTCCTGCCTCGATTGGGAAGGGGGTGCACCAGATTTGGGGTTCAGCTGTGAGCTTGAGGGGGTCTGCTCTGGGAGCTGATGTTGGAGGGGCAGTCTGCACCAGTCCGTCCACAGCCAGCCTCCTAGCACGCAGTCTCGGTACTCCTAGCTGTTAACAAGGCAGTAATAGCCCACCATCACCCCCCCCTTTCCTGGGTCTTCGGGCTTTGCCCTATGGAGCCTGCTGGCTTTGGGTGAATTTGCTCTGAGGTTAGTAAGCACTGGCTGATTTTATATATGCACCAGGAGAATAGTTGGGGTTTTTTTTTGGGGGGGGGGTATATGCAGGATAAGCTGCGTTCCTTGGGAGTGACATCTGGGTGTGTTTATTGTCTAGCGATGCCTTTTTCTCCCTTTACCTTTGCCAGGTGTGTGTTCGTGTTACCAGATGTGGGGCTGTGTATGTGTTGCTTGAATCGATGTTCGGGTGTACCATGGTCCTATGTGGCATTATTTTTGGACTAAGGAAGGAGGAGGGTTTTAAATGGTAAAAAATGAGAGATCTCTCTGGGTGGATCCTGCAATGGACGGCGTGGGGGTTGAGGTGCTGCCTTTCCCTTCTGCATCATCTCTGGGTCTTTTGTCCCAGGTGAGCGTTTCTGGGTCGCCTTTTCTTATGCAATGCATGTCCCTTTCTCTTTTGTCCCCATCTACGATGGTTGTGTAGAAAGGGATAGGGACTGGGTGCTTCGGGGCAGATCTGTTATCAGAGGAGACCTGTCAGTTCTCTTTCTGTCTCTCTGGATGTGTTTGCGCACCAAACAAGGGGTCTAGAAGAAAAGGGTGTCGTTGGGGGTCAGTCCTTTTCGAGTGCAGGAATGTGTTGCGTTGCAAGAGGATGGGTCGAGAGAGCCTCCCCCCCCCCCAAGCAGCCAAGGCACAATGTTTTCTTGGATGATAATGCCTCAGAGCTGGAGGCTTTGGTTTTTTGGTTGTTTTTTGACAATGCCTGCCTTCCTTCCTTCTCCCCACCTCCCCACCCCTCGACAAAATCACTCACTGGCTTTCCCTGTGGCCACACCAGCTGCCCCAGCCTTAGGTCTCCATGTGAGGAGAGTTGCATCCCTTGCACAGCCATTGCCCCCACATCTTTAGCTGGAACCCACGGAACCCCCTTATCGCCTTTGGGAGGAAGTGTGTGAAGCAGGGGGAGGGGCAGGTACTTAGATGGGGTTGAGAAACAGGCTGCACAGGGTTCCCCTGGCATCAGGGTGAATGGCTGGGCCTGTTCAGGGTTGCCCTGATGGGCCTTTGGCCCCTGGGCAGAGAGCTGGGAATCGAACATTGGTGACCCTCTGCTGGATGTAACTGGGAGGGTCGGCGGAAGCAAAGTTCCCCTCAGTGTCCAGGCCGGCAGCCAGCTGGGTTTAAGGTTATTGTTTACCTGGGTGTCCTAAACTATAAGGAGGCAGTTAAAAGCCAGGTTACTATGAAAGCAGGTGCCTAGTCCCCCCCTCCCCTTTCCTTCTTATTGATTTAGTTAAGTACAAATATAACAAACAAGGAAGAAACCAAATAATCAAAAATGTAAACCATAACAGTTGCAGCCTGGGAGAGCAAAAGCACAGTACAGTGCAGAGATTTTAAGCTGCCTAGGAATCACATTTAGGAAGCTGCCATATGGCAGATTAGACTGTTCACCCACCTAGCCCAGTGTGTGGGCTCTGATTGGCTGGGATCTCCAGAATCTCAGACTTAAGAGATATTTTATCGCTTGGTCCCCTGGACTGTAGATGTTGAGGCATAGAACCTGGGACCTTCTATGAGCAAAGAATGTGCTGTGCCCCTTGGCTATCTGACCCCGACACTCTCTGCTGTCTGTGGGCTGATTGCAGTGGCTTGGTGACTTTGCGCATGCCCAGTGGCACTACTTGTATTTCTGGCATTCCAGGCCATGTTCTGGTACTAAGAATGGGACATCTAGAAACGGAAGATGCCAACCAGTACATGAGCCTTAAAAGCTGATGAGTTAGCTCATGGTACATTGTGCTCATTGTGCATTGTTGGCTCTTTGGCCTGGCTTCTGGAGACTTCAACAGAGGACCTTCTCAGCCTGGGTACCTGAGATCCCTTTCCGTTAGGGATGCCTGGATTTGGGACTTTTTCTGCTTGCAAAATTTGTGCTCTGCCTCTGAGCTTCCAAGTAATAATTTTAATCATAATTTTGTTATTTATATGGCGCCCATCTGACTGAGTTGCTCCAGCCACTCTGGATCTACATACATCAGAGATTTAAAGAAGGCAATGGTTTGAGTAAGGGCTCTGTGTGTTTTGAAAGCTTGCCAAGTCCCCATCACCAGAGTTAGCTCAACTCAAAAGTATTCATCTGTATGAGATTGCTTGACCTCTGGGCAAAGAAGCTGACAGACAAATGAAAATGTGCCACATTGACACACAAGGGGTGTGTGTGTGTGTGTGTGTGTGTGTACGTCAGCAACTGGTGCACATCTGTGCAAAAGACTCAGGCAACTCCTCATACGAGTGGGCCAGTCTGGCATGTTGGCCTGAGGATAAGAGGTTTCTCTGGGAGTGAAAAAGCTCAATTGGATTAAGAGGTCAACCTCACCCAGTTGGGGAAGACTGGATTAGGACATGCAGGAGAGTAACCTGGAGACCCCAGGACATGAAGAAGTGGTGAAAACAGCTGAAAATGCACAGAAAATGATAGTAATGATATTGCTATGATGCCTGCACCAACGTAGGATACAATCCAGCAACTACCAACTGCTGAATTAAATGGGCGAGAGAGCACGTATTTAAATTGAAATAAATAACATTTAAAAGTGCTTAACTGTTGTTAGCTCAGTGCCCATGTTTCTCATATAGTACTTTTGAGTGTCCAGAGCACTTCACCTACAACAGTTGTATAAGGCAGGAGGTAAGTATTATTGTTCCCATACTGCAGATGGGGCGACTGAGGCAAAGAGAAAGCGGATTGCCTAGGGCCACCTACTGAGTATAATGAGCTTATGAAAGAGGCAGAATATGAACCAAGAACCTCCTGGTGGAGCAGAAATGAATACCCACCATTTTTTTCCTCCAGAATTCACCAGGCTTCTTTTGAAAGAAAAATGCTGAAGGCCCCCTTGAATTTGTTCTTTGAATGTGAAACCTTGAAACTTGGGGCACTATTTAGACTGTTGATTTTGGCAGGCTTCAAATATGACAACTCACAAGCTGTTGCCTGTCAAAAATACTAGCTGTTATTGCAGGTTATGCTGTAGAGTATACTGAATGGCATTGCATTATGCGGCCACAATATACCATTGCATTTCAACAATTTAAATTCTACTGCATGGCATACCAGGGCTTTTCAGACGGCCTTTGGCATAGCCTCCCACAACTTGGTGCCTTCCAGAATTTTTTTTGCCTGCATCTTCCACCATCCCTAACCAGGGGTGACAACTTGAATAAAATATGGGGGGGCAGGGTAAGCTCCGCCCCACGTAATGGATCACATGATGCAGTGCATGCATCAACTTTTTTGGGGGGGCGCAAATATTTTATTAGAGGGGTGAAGACCCCCTCGGACCCTAGCAGTTTCCTCCTATGTCCCTATTGGCCATGCTAGCCAGAGCTGATAGGGGTTGTAGTGCACAGCATCTGGAGGGCACCAGGTTGGGGAAAGGCTGCTCTGGGGAACTGCAGTGATTTTTGGATGCTTAGCAAGGGTTGCTCAATTAGAAGGATGATAGACAGACACAATTCCTGCTATTGCTGATCTTCCTGGGCTGAAGGAAGAACAAGATCTACTGACAGATTCTTGGATAATTTGCAATAGGCTGGTGAGGTCTTCTGACTCCCAACAGCTGAACCATGGTAACCATGAAAAGTGAAGCTTGTGAGTAGTAGACATACACAGCTAGCGTCAGGAATGATATTTTGTTCATGCATAGGTTGCACTTCTGTGCCTGCTTTATGAGCCTCAGTGTTTCCCATCTTAAAAATGGGACTTTAGGCTTCATTGTGCTGCTGCCAATTGCTGTTCCGTAAGAATACAGTAAATGATTCTAATAGTTCTCAGCCGTGGTTGGCCTAAAGCTAATTGATTCAGTGTCAACAGATGTATTACTTGGCTTTCTTTGGCTCAGTACAGTTCAGCAGTTATTGCTGGCTGTGATGGCTGCATGCTACTCCCATGAACAGAGGCATTGTGTCCCTGAATACCAGTTGCTGGAGAGCACAGGGCGGAAGAGGGCTATTGCACTCATGCGCTACCTGTGGACTTCCCATAGGTGCATATCTGGTTGGTCGTTGTGAGGACAGAATGCTGGCCATGCAATGCCTTTGGTCTGACCCAACCTGGCTCTTCTTATGTTTTCCTGAGGTCCACCAACTGGAACCAGATGCAGAATGGCAGAGCCAGCTGCCTCTTGCACCCCACGAGCCATGCACTGGAACAATCTGCGTATGTAAGTCAGGG